CGCCGCAGCGGCCGAGGAGAGGTGGGCGCGCCGTCCGCGGGCCGCATTGCGGCGGCGCGCGGGCGGGGCCAGGGGGGACGCGCTTAAGGTGAGGGGGACCGCTGCGACATGGGGCAGCAAGAAAGGGGGCTCAAACGCAGCTCACAGGGCGGCGCGGGGTGTCGCGCTCAGCGGAGGTGGGGAATAGCGCAGCACCGCAAACTGCGTGCGCCCGCGGGGCCCAGCCCGGAAACCAGGCGCGCCCCACACGCAGACACAGGCAGACAATCAAAACACGCGCATGCAAGCAAGCAAGCCGGGGCAATCAACGCCACCGGGAAGCCAACCGCGGCCGTCCGCAGACTGCAGCCGCGCTCTCCGCATGCGCCGCCGCCGCGCCGCCCGCCGCCATGATGCCACGCCACGCCGCCGCCTCGCCGCCGCACGCCGCAGCTCCACTCCTCGCCTCCAGTCGTCCTCCAGCCGGGCCGCCGTTGACCAGCCTGCCGCGGGGCGCCGCGCGCGCGGCAGCGCCCCGCGGGTTACCCAGGCCGGCGGCGGCAGCGCAGCCGCTGGCAGCGGCTCCGCCCCGTCGCGACGGGGCCTGCAGGTCGAAGCGTCCACCTTTCCCGGCGCTGCGGCGCCCTGCACCGCAGCCCGTGGGCCACAGCCCCGCGGGCGCGGACCCTCCAACGGGGGGCCCGCGCGGGCAGGAGAGGGCGTCGCGGGCCTGCTCCCGCGGCGCATTCAGGTCGCGGGTGCTTCAGGAGTCTCCTAGGGGCCGCTCGAGCCCGGGGGCCAGCCCCCGCGGACGCCCCCGCGGCTGAGCCGAGGGAGGTCGCGGGGGCGGGCTGCTATGACGAGCGTGGCGCGGAGCCTACTTAAACGTATTTATATATAGCAGGCGGCCACCGCCACATGGGGTTCGGCGTTTATAACGTTGAAGCTGTGAAAAATGAGTTGGGCGCGTAGCGAAATTGGATATCGCACTGGTCTTCGAAACCAGGGATTGCGGGTTCGAGCCCCGTCGTGCTCACGACGTTTTCACTCCCAGATCTGCACTCGCGCCCCTCACAAGGGGACTACTAGTGCTTTGCGGTTGTGTGTGGTGCTACCGTCTGTGCCCCGCGGTGTCGACGTGTGCTGACCCTCTGCCCCGGTCGGGTTGAGTTTGCGCGTGGCCCTGGTTGGCAGCTGGGTGGCTGCAGGACCCCGCGATGTGGCCCGCACGCGAGTGGGATTTGGCTCTTGCGCACCACGCCCCGCCAATAACAGCCGCGGCAAACTCCAGGAGGTGTAGTTGCATTTACACGGGGGCGGTGCGCAGCAGGGTGCGGTTGTTTTTGGGGGCGGGAGGGGGTGTAGTGATGAGCTGCACTGATGGAAGAGAGTCACAGCACACGGGCAAACACGGCAGGGGGCTGCAGACGGGTCAAAAACCGCCGCGGCGGGCGCGCGGACCGAGCGGGCCGCCCTGGTTGGCAGCTGGGTGGCTGCAGGACCCCGCCGTGCCAAAGGCGGTGTGGCAATCATTGCCAGCAGCGGTCAACTTGTCGTACGCCATGTGCACCACTGCGCCGATTGAAAATGGGCCTCCCTTCCCGGCATGTTTTGCGGCTGCCGCCAAAACATGCCGCCGGATAGCTTTGTGCCGGCTCCATTCCCCTAAAACCCCCCTGCCTGCCTGCCCGCCAGCCAATCGAGGCGCAAAGTTTTACAGCTGGCGGCGCGGCCTCATCAGTCGTCAAAGGTGATCTTCGTGGCCTTTTTGCTGAGGTCCACGTCCTTGAAGTGCGCGCCGTACAGCTTGTGCTCCTTCTTCTTGACCGTGGTCCCAAACTTGAGCAGCTCGTCCGGCACGGGCTGCCCCGCCTCGCGCAGCACGTTGATGAGCTCCCCCGCGCGAGGCTTGTCGGGGCCGGGCGAGAAGAAGGTGATCGCGCGGCCCGTCTTGCCGGCGCGGCCGGTGCGGCCGATGCGGTGGACGTAGTCCTCGATGGTCAGGGGGAAGGAGTAGTTGATGACCACCTTGAGGGGGGGAGAGGGGCGTTGGGTTTGGGGGGAGGGCTTGAGCCGTGTGGCCTCCGCGGCGGGTGGGGCATGCGCTTTTGGGACCTGCGCGCATTGCCTCGGAGCTGTGCATGCCACACCGCTGCAGGGCGCCCCTGCAGGGCACCCGCCGGGCGCCAAGGCCCCCGCACAAACACAGCACGCACAGCAGCAAAGCAAAAGTAGCGCACGCCGCCCCCGCCGCCGCCCCCGCCGCCGCACCTCCACGTCTGGGATATCGAGGCCGCGCGCCGCCACGTCCGTAGCGATGAGCAGCGGCACGCTCCCGGCCTTGAAGCCCTCCACCGCCGCCGTCCGCTGCGCCTGGCTGATGTCGCCGTGGATGGCCGCCGCGCTCCAGCCCTTGCGGGACAGCAGGGCCTCGACGCGCGGGGCCTCTTTTTTGTACAGGACGAAGATGATGATGCGGTTCTTGCGGCTGGAGTGGTGCTTGGCCAGCAGCTGCAGCAGGCGCTCGTCGCGCTTGGCGGGGTCGATCACCTCAACCTCCTGCAGGTTGATGAGTAGGCGGGTGGTTGGGTGGTTGGGCGGTGGGTTGGGGGGTTTAGTAGGGTGGTTGGTTGCGTTGCGGCTCGGCAGGAGGGCGGCAAAGCAGACTCAGCACTTGAGCAGGGCAGCGGCGCGTGGCGCGCAGTGGGCCGCACGCTTTTGCAGCACCCCGCAGAGCGCAGCAGCGCAGCAGCGCAGCAGCGCAGCAGCGCAGCAGCGCAGCAGCGCAGCAGCGCAGCAGCGCAGCAGCGCACCCCGCAGAGCAGCGCACCCGGCGCCCCCGCCCACCTGCGCGACGCTGTGGCTGGCGGCCAGCTCCAGCGACCCCACTGTGACCCTCACCGCCCCCGCCGCCGCGAGGAAGTTGCTGGCCAGCTGCTGCACCGCGGTCGGCCAGGTCGCTGAGAACATGAGCGTCTGGCGGTCCGCGCGGACGGTGGCGCAGATTTTGCGGATGTGGGGCTCGAAGCCCAGGTCCAGCATGCGGTCCGCCTCGTCAAGGACCAGGTAGGTCACGGCCTTTGGGGGGGTTTGAGGAGGGTTGGGGTTAAAGGTTTGGGGTTTTTGGAGGGTGAGGGTTGCGGGTTTGGGGGGTTTGAGGGGGGTTTGCGGGGGTTCAAGCGTGTGTGTGTGCTAGCGCAAATGCTCCCGCATGCAAGCCCCCCAAAGAGGGCCCTGCGCCATTCAAAAAAGCCCCCCCCCCGCACCGTGAGCCGTGCGATGCGGTCGTTCATGAGGTCCTCCAGCCGCCCCGGCGTGCCCACCACAACCTCCACGCCCGCCTTGAGCGCCGCCACCTGCGGGCCCTTTGGCACGCCGCCGTACACGCAGCAGCAGCGCACGCCGCAGCGCGCGCCGGCGTCCTCCAGCACGGCGGTGATCTGGAGCGCCAGCTCGCGCGTGGGCGCGAGCACCACCGCAAACGGCCCCTTCTTGCCAGCCGCGGCGCCGCCGGGCTTTTTGTTGGCGGCGATGTGGGCCATCATCGGCAGGCCAAAGCCCAGGGTTTTGCCAGAGCCGGTCGAGGCGATGCCGATGAGGTCGTGGCCAGAGAGGATGATGGGCCAGCACTGGGCCTGGATCGGCGAGGGGGACAGAAACTCGCGGGTGGAGTGCAGCAGCTCGGGGCCCAGGCCGGTCTGCTCAAAGCTCAGGACGGGCGCGAGGTCGCAGCCCTCGACGGCGGTGCGCCGCTCCTCGCGCGCGGCGGCCGCGGCGGCGGGGCCCATCGCGGCGACGGCGGGGTGCTGCTTGTAGAGGACCTTGAGGATGGGCGGCGAAGACGCGGCCAGCGCGGCGTCGCCGACGGCGGCGAGGGCGCCGGCGCCCGTGGGGGCGGGCTTGGACTTCTTGGCGGGCGTGCCTGCAGCAGGCGGAGGTTGCGGCGGCGGCGAGGCGTTGGTGGGTGCGGTGGTGGGGGGCTGCAGGGGGATGTTTGCGGTGGGAGGCGCGTGCTGGGAGTAAGGTTGGTTGTTTGTTGGTGTTGGGCTGTCGCTTGCTGGGTAAGACCCAAAGGGTAACTGCCCCGACGGGGCTCCCCAAGGTGATGGAATCAGCATTCGGCGGGAGCCAGGAACCCCCGGGAAGGGGGATCAACCGGCGCGCTTTGCTCTGCGGCGTTGCTGCGTGGAATGTGCGCCCACAAGGGGCCGCGCGTGGCCGGTGGGCCGGTGCGCGGGGCGCTCCGCTGCAGCGGCTGGGTGAGGCACAGCCTGTGTGCCGCCCAGCCCGCCGGTGTTTGTGTGCAATCTCTGCTGCTGCTGCTGCTGTCACTGGAGCGGTTCCCTGGCACGTGCATCCCGTTTGCTGTTATCAAGTTAGAAACCCAGCCCCCAAGCACCCACCAGCATCCTCTTTGCCTTCGCGCTTTGACTTTTTGGACTTCTTGCAGGCTGGCTCGTCCGCTGTTGGCAGATTGGTTGGGCGAGCGCGCGAGGGTGTCAGAAAGCGGCTGCGGTGCGGCTGCGGTGCTTTGGTGTGCGCGCTCGTGGTGGAGTTGGGGTTGCGCTGTGTGCGCGGGGCTGTCGCTTGCTGGGTAAGACCCAAAGGGTAACTGCCCCGACGGGGCTCCCCAAGGTGATGGAATCAGCATTCGGCGGGAGCCAGGAACCCCCGGGGAGGGGGCTCAACCGGCGCGCTTTGCTCTGCGGCGTTGCTGCTTGGAATGTGCGCCCACAAGGGGCCGCGCGTGGCCGGTGGGCCGGTGCGCGGGGCGCTCCGCTGCAGCGGCTGGGTGAGGCACAGCCTGTGTGCCGCCCAGCCCGCCAGCAAGGGTACTGTGTTGTCAGCCCTGCTTGCTAACCAGGGTTTCTAAACCCTGGAGAAAGGCCAACTCCAGCACGCACGCCGCCCCCTGCACGCACCTGCCGCTTGCTGCTGCTGTGCTGCTGCCGCCTCTGCCTCTGCCGCCGCCTTCTTCTCCTTCTTCCTGGCCTTCTTCTCGGCCTTTGCCGCTGCCGCTGCTGCTGCCTCGTCGTCGGCGCCCCCCGGCGGCTGCGCCGCTGCGTCCGCCAGCTTTTGCTTTTTGGAGAGCTTCAGGGCTTTGCGCTCCGCTTTGGACAGCGCCCCCGCCTCCGGAGCCATCGTAGTCATGCGGCGTGGGGCGCCGCGCGGCCTGCGGTGTTTGCGGTGGGGGGGCGGTGGCGGCTGGGGCGCAGCGCGTGGGCCGCCGGCGGCAGGGCGGCGGCGGCGGCGGCGGCGGCGGCTGAGAGCGGTGCGCCAGGCCCGTTGCGCCGGCGCATAGGCCGCACTCAGGTGGCAGCCTGAGCATTTTGCTGGCGCGCAGGGGCTGCCAAAAGGCCCGGGAGCGCTGACGCGCAGGGCCGCCGCGGCCACCAGCCTATATTTCGGGGCCTGCTCAGCCGCGATTGTTCGCACCTGCTACGATCTTCGCTGTCGCGCAGGGCGCGCGCGCGCCGGGGCCTCGGCGCTGACTGCTGTCGGGGGGCGGCGCGCTCGCGGGTCTCGCCTCTAAACGGCTCAGCGCCTGCTTAAAAGTGAGCAATAACAGCGGTGCCGGGTGCCGCGGTCGTCTAAAACAGTGCCAGGCAGCGGCGCGCGACGGCAGGAGAGCGGCGGCGGCCGCGTGCACACACCCCAGTGCCGCCGCCGACCGATCGCTCCTGGATCGCTCCTTTGCAGAGCTCCTGTGTCATTTCCGCCTGCAAGCATCCCGAGCTGTTACGGCCTCGCAGCAGCGTAAGCTTTGGCGCCGTCGCTGCCTGTTCGGGCCGGTCAGACGCGGCGTTGACTTGGGCGCGCGCGCCCAGTCCTGCGTTGGGGGTGGGGAATCCCACTGTACCCGCAGGTTTCCACGCCCTTGCCATGCCAATGGGCAAGCTTCAGCGCTCGCTTGGAGGAGCGCTCCTCCAAGCCACGGCTTGGCAGCGGCCCCAGGGGCAGGTGCACCTTCCGCAAACTGCCTGGCGGCGCCCGCGTCGCCTCTTGCTTGCTCCCCCTGTTGATGCCACGCCTTTC